CCATAGCCTAAACCAGAGCACTAAACCTGACTCGTAACTATAACCTTAGCCTTAACCCTAACCTGCAACACTGAAGCAGCACTCCCCCTTACTCGAACCCTACTGGTCCTAACCCTAACCCTTGCCCCTAAACATAAGCCTAACTCAAAACCTAAGCTCTAACATCAACCTAACATTAACCCCTAAACCCAACCATAAACCTAACCCTAATCCAAGCACATGATACTAACCGAAACCTCTAACCCAAACCCTAAACCTAACCCTAAGGATCACCTTCCACGAGAATGACACCTCACCCCAACCATAAACCTAAACCCAGTACTAACCCAAACACATTATGCTAAGCCTAAATGTTAACCCAAACACTAAACCTAACTACTAAACCCAACTCTAAAACCAACCCTAACAATCACCTTCCCCTGGAAGGAACACATTACTCTAACCTTCAATGCCAACCCGAACACTAAACCCTACCTAAACCCTAAGGCTCACCTTCCACTAGAAGGAACCCTAACCTTAGCACCAACCATAAACCTAAACCCAATACTAACCCAAACACATTACGCTAACCCTAAACACTAAACCAAACACTAAACCTAACCACTAGACCCAGCCCTAAACGTAACCCTAACCTAACACTAAGGATCATCTTCCACTAGAGAGACTGATCTCTGTTGAGCACAAAGGGAGTCGTAAGGATAAGCTGAGATTTAATCCCCTGGCTGCCAAGACTAAAATTCATTTGAACCTTCTTCTCTTCCTAGGAGACAAGTAGAGCCTTCCTAGGAGCAGTTCATCTCCTCCTAATCTAAGTCTTTAAATTAAATCAGGTGAATCAGCCCCAGAAGTTCTGGTTTATCTCCATGACCCATGAAAGCCGTTGAGGTGACCACCACCCTACTCTTAGTGGTGTTGCTTGGGTGAGATCCTGCCCTTGCAGTCTAAGTTCTCTCATGATGGTCCTCATGGGTTTCTGGCCCTCCTAGTCATCCTCGGACAAGCATCCAAAGGTCTCCTTCATTTGGTCCTTCTGTAGGCCGAGTGGGGATGGGTTTAAAAGAGGTGGGACAAGACTGGAGAGGACCTGGACGAAGCTGGAGATGGTGAAACCCAAGGAGACGATGGTGAAAGGAGAAGCACAAGTGGCGAACGCTTCCTGCCTGCCTTGTGCTGATGGGATCTGGAACAGGATCGGCTTAGGAGACCGTGAGAAAGGACCAAGGACACCGCAAAGCCAAGGAGCAAGCAAGGTGTCACGGAAGTGGTGGTAGATGACTTTGGGAGCACAAGCCTGGCTTTCAGAAGCGGAGGTGACAGAGTTGGGACAAAGCCACCCACCCAGCAACCAAGAACAAGCTTGTCGGGGTGGTGGGACATCTCAGAGGGTTCCAGACTGCCACCGGTCACGGGACACGGGAGCAAGGAGGACGGACTCAGCTCTGCCCACGCTGGAAGAAGCTGGTCAGGGCCACCAAAGGAAATGGTTTTCTTCTCCAGTAGGACATTGGCCAACGTTTTGGGCAACCTGGAGGAGGCCGGGGAGCCCCAGGGGTCCTTGAAGCACCAACTGGTCCAGCTTGGTCCTTGCCGCAAAGCCCGACCCCCGCACTGGTCCCAGTAGCTGCTCTGGGGGCTCTTCTGGGCCCAGCCCCCACCTCCCAGCCAGCGGCCGGATCTGGGCGCTGAGGCAGGCGGGGGTCAGGGGGAGCACAGGCCAAGGACACGCCATGCTCATGGTACGTACATACCATACACACGCCACGGGCGTGGCAGGGACGCGCCGTGCTCATGCCTCGCCTGCGCTGTGCACGCGCTATGCACGCGCCATGCTCGTGGTACGTACATACCATACACACGCCACGGACACGCCGTGCACACGCCATGGACACGCCATGCTCGTGGTATGTACATACCATACACATGCCATGGACACGCCATGCACACGCTATGTACATACCATACACACGCCATGGACACGCCGTGCACACGCCATGGACACGCCATGCTCGTGGTACGTACATACCATACACACGCCATGGACATGCCGTGCACACGCTATGAACATGCCATGCACACGTCATCAACAAGTCACGCACATGCCATGGACACGTCATGTGCACACCATCCACATGTTGTGCTCGTGCTATGTATACAGCATGCACATGCCATGCACACACCATGCATACATCATGCACATGCCATGGACACATCATGCACATGCGATGATCGCACCACGCGCACGTCATGGACACACCATGGGCACGCCACGCACACGCCATGCACATGCAATGATCGCACCATGCACACGTCATGGACACGCCATGCACATGTGATGATCGTGCCATGCACACGCCATGGACACGCCATGGGCACGCGATGATCGCGCCATGCTCACGTCATGGGCACGCCATGCACATGCCATGCACACGCGATGATCGCGCCATGCACACGCCATGCTCACGTCATGGACACGCCAAGCACACGCCATGCACATGCCAAGCACACGCGATGATCGCGCCATGCACACGCCACGCACACGCCAAGCACACGCCGAGCACACGCGATGATCACGCCATGCTCACGTCACGGACACGGCATGCACACGCCATGCACATGCCAAGCACACGCGATGATCACGCCACGCACACGTCATGGACACGCCAAGCACACGCCATGCACACACCATGCTCGCGCCTTGTCTGTACCATGCACACGCCGCCCCCGCCCCCACCCCATCTCGCTCGGACCA